ATAGGAATAGAATTTTGTGAAACAAAAATGAGTATCAATGAAAGAGTCAGTAGAACCAGAATCAACAAGAGTAGAAAATTTGAGAAGAGCAGAGACAGGTTCGGCCGGCATGGCCGAATTGGAGAGCGAAAATTCAGTAGTTAAAATATTACAAGAGATCATTCAATGGAAGAAAGAGTGGTCATGTTGAGGTATAATTCCCCAGGCAAGGTACAAACCTGATCAATGCAGCTCCCGTTTCGTACCAGGGAACAAGAGCTGTGGACTAGTTTTCTGATTCCTCTTCTATAACTATAGAAGTTGTGTCAGGGGTTTCTTCAACCTCGGCTGCCCAGCCCTTCAACTCCTGAGCCTTTCGACACCCGAGCATTTCGCTTGTTACAGTCAGCAATCAAATGTTTATGACCACAGAAAAGACAAAGGTTGTTCTTCATCCTTCTTTCTCACTCAGAGGGGAGAACCTTCCCATTGGCTCCGAGATGATTAAAGGTGGGGCACTGACCGGCGGATTGGCCGGAGTTCGAGGTGCCTTGGGGTTTCCTGAAGTTATTTGGTTTTCCTCCAGTAAAAGATTTGGGCTTCGGTGCAAACAGCGCCGGAGAGCCCGAGGGCTGAGAGTTGCTCTGCTGGTTAGTAGAGCCAGACTTAGGAAAGTCTGAGGAACCCTTCTTTGGGTTCCGAGCAATGAAAGGTTTACCAGCCTCATGTTTTTTTTGTTTCTTTGCGCTTCCAATGATGGTTCTCAATACAAAGAACTTCTTGATGATAATCGGCGAGCATCGCTGCCTTGGGGAGACACACCATTTTGTCCTTAATATGTTCTGCCAAACCTTGTCCATAAGCCCACTTCAGGGCAGCAGAATCCCAGTTTGTACTGGCAGCCAGAGTGTTAAACTGAATGTTTTATTTTCGGATGTTTTCAGTTTCCTTCATCTTCAGGTTACCGAGAGAATCTTCGGCCTCGCCTTGCGTATCGAAAACACCGAAATTATCTACAAGAGCTTTGAAGGAAGAGGTCCACGCCAGCAGCGAGTTGAGATCCAGGTCAAGAATATCAGGAACAAACCACTCTTTGGCTGATCCACTGAGATATGAAAGGGTGTAATTCACCTTTTGCTGATTGGTGAAATACTTAGGACGGTCATTGAAGACCAAAGTGAGGTTGACAAGGAAGGTTTAGGAGTCCGAACTGTCAAATACTTCTGGCTCTTTGACCTTACTCTTAGATTCAGAGTTGTCCGAGGGTCGGTTGAGAGCAGTGAGAACGGTACCAAGGGTTTTGATGGAACCCTTAAAGCCCGATAATAATTCTAACATAGCACATTGCTCATTGGGGATGTCAGAAGGAATGGGAGTACAAGGTCCACTAGGCCCACCAGGACCACCAGGACCGCCGGGACCTCCAGGTCCACCAGGTCCACTGGGGCCACCCGGCCCACCTCATGGTACATAAATCACTGGAGTCATTATCCGGGTCTTGGTTTTCAGGGTTGTCAATGTCAGTGCCCAATTTGGCGGGATCGACCGGAGGGTCTTGTTCATCGTGATCACCAGTGTCCAAATCGAAGTGAGGAGGTGGGTCACGAGGAGAGTGAGAAGTAGCACGACATTGAGGTTGTTTACCAGTACGATGGGCTATTGCTTGGAGGATAGGAGATTCATTTCAAGTGGTGGATCGGCCCCGAGCCAGGGCGACCATGGGGGGTCACCTATGACAAGGGGTCAGAACTTGAACAGGTTATCTGTCACCTGTGTAAAGGGTACTGTACTTGAATTGTTGGTCTTCCTCCATATCTTCAGGAAGAGTTGATGTAGTAGGGACTGTAGCCGGACTGAAACCGCAATTACGGCAATGTGGTTGACTGATAGCAGAAAGGGGCAAATGATTGGACTGTAGTAAAGAAGGTGTATTCTTCAGAGTTAGCTCTAGATTGAGCTCGAGTTCTCGGAGGCATGAAATGATAAATCAGTATGACAGTAACAGATTCAGTTTAATTATACTGTTAAGATCATGTATACTGGAAAGCCGAGCCAAGGGCCATTCGGTATCCGGACAAAGCAAATTCTCACCAGGTCAAACCACTTCTAAACAGAACTCCACCAAACACGACCCTCCTCACATCCTTCATTGTTGTGTAACCACCTCACTCTCTTCCCATTCCTCATCGACACTTTCTGTGTTAGAATTCCCATCTTTTCCCTTTTCTCTTTTTTCCAGCGCACACCTCAACCCTGCCCAGACTCCATCTACCACCCCCATTCCCCCAGCACATGCACCTACCAATGTCGTTGCATAATAGAAATTCGCATTCCCGCGTCCATGGGTGAGCCACAGATGAGCAAAGAGTGGTTGGAGAAGAGTAGAATGGAGGAGGGTGAGAAGGGCTGGGAGGGGAGTGCGGAGGACTGGAAGGAAAAAAAAATGTAGCGTGGGGGTCAGTTACAAAACAATGAAAGAAAGAACACACACACTTACATGGATACACCTCCCCAAAAAGACCCCACATCACAAGGAACAGACCCTGATCTGAGAGGGTCGGGTAGGGCTTGAAGGTTGCGAGGATTCCAGTAAGGAGGAAGAGAGCGTAGAGAGGATCATGTCTGTGGAGAAAGAGCAGGTAAGTAATACGTACAGGATATATAGGTATAGGAAGGGGGTAGGAGGAGGAAAAGAAAGAAAGAAAGAACACGCACTGGAATTTAATACATATCGGTGCGACGTACATCAATAGATGGACCTAATTGTTTTTGTAAGCGATTAGTGGGATTGGAAATAGGAAAACAGGGTTGGATAACGAAAATGAAGAAAGGGACGAAGAGAAATGTTATGGTGGACTAGGAACGAATGATAATGAGAACACAACAAAGAGAAGAAATCGAGAGATATATGGGGAGCGAGTGAAAATAAACAAAAACGTGCAACAGAAGGAAGACATGATATAATTCTACTAAGACCCGAATACACGAAGACACGGGTCGCAAGGGGAACGTCTCTGCCTACAACCATTTACATTTCAGAATACCCACACACACAGGGCACGGCATACCAAAAAACAGTGACAACAGAAATGTCAAAAAATTCCGATAAATATCTCACCTCAAACACGACCAAAAAAAAAGCCCTAAAATGATCGAACATTTCTGTGAAGAAATACCACCAAAGACCCGGATTCGGTGAAAGCGATGGGAGCGAAAGGCTGAATAACGGAAGAAGTCAGGCCCCACCCCAAAGGTCCCCCCCAGAGAGTGATGTGGATGTGGATGCAGAAACTTACCTCGCACCCCAGGTCCTACCCATCCATTCCCAATGACCTACAATCAACGTCGATACGAGGGTAAGCGCGGCAAAGTATACAAGGAACTCTAGTATGACCGGGAAGACTACACGAAGAATCGGACGAGTCTGGGGATGTAGAGGCGATGTGGGCTTTGCCTGTGTCTCGTCGTTGGATTTTGACTTGATTTCTGAGCCGGATACCGTCTGCGCATTCGAGTCTTTCTCTGCCTCAGACTCTCCCTCTTTCTCTTCCTCGCTCACCTCTGCTTGGACATCCTGCTGCTTCCCCGAGGATGGTGTCGCTAGCACGAACACACCTGGATCCATCAACCTACTCCCCGGGCCGGCAAGAATCAGCATAAGCAGCGGGGGGAGGAGGACGATCGCATCCAGAGAGAGATGAATACGAAGCGCCAGTAGTAGAAGGGATTTCGATTGTGCTGGAGAGGAGAAGAATCTATCAGCGGTGGAAGAATGAGCAGTGTGTGAGGAAGCTTTCGGTGAAGCGGAGTCAGTATCTTGCCCTGTGTGCAGCTTTGGTGCTACCTCTGCTGAACTAGCACATTCAGATCCCCACGCTACGGCACCCAAGAGCACCGCATTTTCCCAAGCGCTTGTGGAGCGCGCAAGGGAGGGGAGGATATGGAATGGGGAGAGGAGGTAGAGTGGTGGAAGGAGAGAAGGAAGGAGGATGTCTCGGGACGAGGATGCTGAAGACGTAGACGTAGATGATGAGGATGGCGTTGACAACATACCCGTGCTCCTTGTCCTCGCCCTCGACATTCTCACCAAAAACCACGCTGACAGCGCGTCAGGAGTTATCCAGAGGATGATTTCGAAGAGTGTTGAGAGGAATCTATGTATATTGTGTAGGTAGGATGATTCGGTGATTGAAAGGCCTGAGAGAGAAGAAGGGAGGAATGAGAAGGAGAGATACAGCGGTGACTTTTTTTACGTGACACGGAGAAAGATTCGTAAAAAGAAAAAGAAAAGGTGTCCAGTTAGCAATTACTTTCTCTCGAGAAACAGGAATGAACGAACGAACAAAATTCAACTCACTAAAGCAACCCTTCCTGCTCCGTCTGCATATACATCCACACCACGTCTATACAACCACATTCCTTCCCTCAGATTCGCATACGACGTCAAAGGCGACGAGGCACTGAGCAATCCTGGTCCAGTTGTTATGAGCTCAACGACTGAGTTCGTTCCAGCACTGGATGAGAAGGAAGAATAGTATACGTTGTCGCTTGTGAAATTACTGAAGCGAGCAGGCTGTTGAAACGACGGTGCCGAAGCAGATAAATAGAACTCCAATCCAAACGCTAGCAAAACGCGAAGAGCAATACATAGCGCCATAGACTTTCTGAAAGAAGGCCAAGACATCGGTGATGACTTGGAAGAGGGAGACGACGATGTCAATAATTTCAAGGACTTTGTAGATAAAGACATGGTCGAGGATGCTGCCAGTTTGTCCACTTTGCGCCCTGCACTATATGCGTCCCAAGTGGCGAATTTCGCCTAATATCAGAAAACCTTCCTATGCTTGAATATTGAGTCCTTCGAATGCAGGGAACGAACAGCTACGGAGACAGTGATTTCTGAAGAGAATAGCCCAGCGCCTATTATTGCAACCATGATCCCACGATGTCACAGCCACATCCCGACGGAGTCCATTGAGTGTTACTTGGCTACAGTTTGAGTACCTGGTTATGAAGCACATGGTTCGGTGGTGTAGTGGTTATCACGTCTGTCTCACATCCTATGTGTCCCACAGGAGGTCCCCGGTTCGAGACCGGGTCGAACCATTCATCTCAGGTGCTGTTTTTTTTTTCAAACACAAGGTTGTACCAAAGAAGCACGACCCTTTTTGAAATTCTACCTCGCAGCATAAGCTATTTTGGCTGTAAAATGACCCTGACCAGGTGTTCAGATCCTCTCAGACATCACTTCGGATCCCAAACCTTTCTTACGGACATACTATAGTGAACATCATACACTCTCCGACCTGACATCACCCCATGAGATTTTTGAAGATGGAATTGGTGGCAGGACGTTCAATTGTCCGAGTTTTTGATGACCATTCCATCTCACAATACCACCATCGCGGGACCGATTTTCTTCCATGTCACCTGAAACAGAGTCCGCCATAGATTGACGATGGAAGCGCATTGTGTCCAATTCCCCACTATGATGAAATCCAGTCTGTATTTCTACCCCAGAAGCAAAGGCTCAGACTGTTCTGTAAAGAGTGTAGTTTTGGGTGATAAGAAGGACAAGAAGAAATTCCCTGAAACGATTATTAGCAGATCGGAGTCACTTACTGCAAGCTGAGTGCTGACAGGTGTATACAAGTCACCCACTGTCCCATCTATCGATGGTATAAGCGAAGACACGAGCACAGTGAGCTGTTCCACTGATAATTAGAAAAACATACGTTGAATGAAAGGGTAGCAACGCACACAAGACACCGAGTACGAAGCTCCCGTCTCGATGAGGACAACAAATATTTTTCCCGCCCGTGAACGTCCGTTGCCAGCTGACATTAAGTATATGCACCCACGAGACCGAGCATAAACAGACGCATCTTCAAAGTCTTCGTTCCATCCACCGAGCATAAATTAAATGTATATCTCAAAATAACTTATTGCAAATAGGGAAGGTGCGATCGCCACAGAGTGGTCCCGTTGTGGTCCCTGTAGACTGCCTCATCATAACAGTTGCATAGAGTTTGGCTGCATGGATGCAGTTCAAACGACTCTCCACTGAGCGCCACCACCCATGAGACCTTAAAGTTAAAGTCTCTTGAAGATTCCTCTGGCTGGGTCATCATTGAATAGAATAGAAGATCAGTTCAGGTTGATGCTGATGTCGAGGAAAAGTACGAGTTGAGAGCATCGCATTGTGGTCTTCCCGAAGAAGGATTCAAAATGCATCAAAAAGATCCTACTTAGTATATTTAGTGGGAGAAATATATGGCGAGAGTAAACATGTAAATTTGGTTCGGATGTGTGAATCTGAAAGGATTTCACACGCATCCACCGATGATTCTCAAATTCCATCCTCCCTGGATTATCAGTATCACCTATGATTATCCTCTCCCATCCATGCATCGAACTTCAAGAGGGATTCAATGTTTTCAAAGCTGGTGCCAGTAGAATTTCGGAAGGCGAAACCAGGCGAAGGGCTTTCCAGAGGTGTGATTTTCGAGGCAATTTTCGCAATATTTCTACAGGTACCCCCTTCGCGCGCGATAATGCCTCAACCCGATGTACCATCTGATTCGTTCGGCTTCAGACGCGATCGGAACTATGTAGTTGGGTTTTTGACTCGTCTTGCTGCGGGCTGTGGTTTATCCGTCGTACTTTCATCCTCTGTTCGTGCATATGCTACTGGGGAGGTCCCAGGAGGTACCCTCCTGTTCTGGTGAGATCGACAAAGACACCAGTCAAAGCTCGGGGGACATCCGATCCGACGTGTGAACCAGCGCAGTCCCACAGAGTGTGGAGAAATTGTATAAAAGGAACTTCCAGATAGTGAGTTTTACCTCCTCAAGCTGCTGGTCAGTTCCAAAAATCTCTGTATCGCCAAAAAAGCCCTTTCCGCTTTTCTCCACGCCGAATTGAGTCGATCCAAATACATCCTTCATCGACGTTTGCCCAAAAAAATGCGTTTCAGCCTTGTATACCTTGCTCTAGGGCTCGCCTCTGCCGCGTATGCTGCTCCGGTACGTCCTTACCTACTCACAGCACCTAACACCTAAATTTAACGAAATTCCTTATCCAGTTCACTGCTCGAAGCCCCCGCCTCGTGACCGTCACTTTCCACGACAGGTTCGCCGGCGCCACGCTCCCAGCCCCGACCTCCGACCTCCAGCTACACCCAAACGTGAAGAGCGCCCTCGACAGAGTGATGAAAAAGTACGGCCCGGGGGGTCCCCACGAGTTCCAGTACACGAACGAGTTCGAAGACGCCGACGACAAGGGGTTCAGTGTTGCCATGACGGGGTTCAAGCCGTGTAAGGATGGGTATTCGTGTGTTTTTAGCGTGCTTTATGATGAGACCAAGAACCCGGTTCAGATTGCGCTTCTACCGAGTGTCTGAGAACATACTCCAGAGTGTATATGTAACGGATATGGATATATTTGGGTATAGATGGCGGTGTACGGTACATTACGGGTACGGGTGACGGGGGATCGGATCTCTATCTTCATCTTTTACACCCATCTATTACACTACGCTACGCTTACAAACTGTACCCACCCAGTGTCCAGTTATAAACTCTGTCTGGTTAACTGTGGCTGAAAGCCGGTGACCGTGCCCCTTACACATTTTTTCAGCCCCAGATATTTACCACTGGGCAATTACTAAAATTTTTATCTCCAAATCTCGATACCTCAAGTCCTCTCCCGAACCACTATTTTCACTAAAATGAGAGCAGCTCCGGCATCTCAATTCCCCACCACCCTCCATGCCGCAACCTCACACTCGTGCTGTGAGTAGACAACCTGGCTGTTGAAGGACAACAGTTACCATTCCCCGACGAAATTCCTACGTTACCACGAGCCTTTCCAATTCGGGAAACACCAACGATGGCCACCCATATAGTTCCGACGAGCACAAATACAGTGCTTTACAATTTGCCAGATAGACAATCACCTCGAGGATCAAATGCTGGGCTCACCTGGCTCTTGGAAAAAGATAGGGCACCATCGGAACACGTACCAGGATGTAACGGAACGTTATTCGTTACTTGTTCTAACTAGTATGCCTCTTACTTAAACGCTTACTATCCATGTCCTATGCCTTACCATAACTACAGTCATTCCCACGTCCTTTTAACAGCGAGATTTAGTTACACCTCGGAATGCAGCATTATCATAGTATGAAACAAATATAAACTGAGCAGAAGTTTGTTAATGGTCCACTGAACAATCTTAGCACTTTATATGAACATCTTCAATGGAGGAAGGTATGCGATTGAAGCTACCAGTTTGAAACTTCCTTATCAGCCCATTTGGGTTCCTTTTAACAGTCGTCACTTTGAACCGTGATTTCCTTCTGGGGCATTAAATCCGACGTAGTCCGAAGTCCGAAATCATGATCGGGCTACTCGTCCACGATGCCATTGTTTACAAATTGTTGAGATACACGTTGCCTAACTTTTCAAGCATCTGACCCTCCACCTTTATCTTCACCTTTGTCCTCGTCGTCATCATCTTCACTGTCACTTCCCTTATCAGACTCCGAGCCACATCCATCCTCTGCATATCGGATAGCATTCCTCTGATTACCGGATGGTGCAATCCTCTGAGCAGACAGGAAGTCAGCCAGTTTTGGTTTTGCCGGACGTTTGACAAGTGCACCTGATGTATACATGGGCTTTGAAGGCTTGGTCCATGCTGGCTTCCTTTGCTCTGTATGTGCTATATCTCATTCCTTTTCCCACTCTTGAACTGATGCCTCCCACTCTGTTAGTGTCTGCTCATTCTTCTCTTCAATACCTTTCACCTCAGCATCGTACCGGATCTGTCATGAAGTCTGTAGCCCCTATCATTTTCTCTTTCTCACTGTCTCTATGCCCTTATTTGTATGATACATCACTCCATCACTTTCACGTCCCACCATTGTCAAACCCTCATCAATTACTGATCCACC